CCTCACCAAGTCAACATTCCTCACTGAGGCTTCGTGTTGGGCCAGATACCCTAATAAATCAGGGTTTGGCCGGCAAAGGCTTGAATTGCCACGAGGCCATTCCCGGTAACTGGGAAAGTTTACAGATTCATGATTATGGCCTGACGATCTTCCCATCATGGCCCGGATGGCTCGTCCCGCGTCTACTTGTGATAGCTTTGCCCCTCCTGGACCAAGGTTCGACCTAATTACAAATATAGCTATATCAAACGAATTGAAGACGAATTGGAACTCGGTGAAAGTTGACGATGCTTCCGGAAACACATAATGTTGATGTGGTGAATCTTGGAGGTGCCGGCCTCGTTGGCGCATGTGCTGGCGCCCTCTGGCTTCTAGCAACTACGCTGCAGTGTTATCTCTATTTCTTTTCCCTGCCTTGTTTATAGACATGGCCAGACGACTTCCAACGATAATGGCTTTTTGCAGTGTGCGTGCTTTTTAGGCCGCCACATCCAGATGCAGAAGATGCTTTGAGATCTTCGTTCACTTAACCGAAAAGGAAAATGAAAAGACCGACTTTTTCCTTTGTGAGCACTTCGCGAGGCTTGGGCGGTCAGTCTTCGCAATCCAAGACACTTGGAAGGGAAAAGCTTGCTGGAATGTTACTCACGGCCTTGGCCAATATGTGTCGCTCAACTTACTGAGCCTAGACTCAAGCCTCCCGCCACAACCCGCTAAATCCCAGGTGACTCCGGAGGGAAATGGGATTCGATAGGCTTGATCACGTCGCCGGACTATGACGGCTCAAACTCACAATTGCCCGGAGAAAGTCTTAAGATGTAGTTGGCGACTCAAGGCCACGCAAAACGAGGCTTTTCCTCTGTCTCACATTATCAACACTTGCTTTGTTTATGCTTCCTTCGAATTCAACAACACAGTCATTTCAACGGCATCGATCTCTCAAGGTGATCTCAAAGGATAGGCAGTTCTTTTAGAGGAGTCAGCTCGAAGTTCGCAGTACTTATCCAAGACAAAGGGCACCGTGCGCTTTCAAGGTTAAATCGGGGACGAGCTTCTGTTGTTCGCAGGACCACCATTGGCAGCACAGGGTTGCAAGCCAACAAGTCGTCCTGCATGCAGGACCCTGATCCTGCGTTATCCTGACGCGGCCGACTTACACAGCAAACGACAAGACCGGGCTATCAGCAAGTGCGGACATTCAACCAAGATGACAAGTTGCACACGCCCAGTGAGCAGTATCGAACTCGTACTGCCACCTCAAAATGCATACCTTTATCGCAATAGGCCCTTGCCTTTACCTCCAACGACACTCTCCAGGACTTCATCAACGGCGAAACCACCACCAAGATTCAGTGCTTTCCCACAAACATTAGGCCCAGGAAATGATCCCAAGGCATTGCCTCAGCAACCCCCTGTGATTGTTCCCAAGGCTTTAACAAAACAAAGGGCATCGCGTATGAGTATATCGGGCACCACTTCACTCCGTGAACGAAGATCATCTCAGAAGATTCAACAGATTACGGGACACGACGTTGGACCTGGTATTGATTGGACATCTGCTATATCTCGGCCTCAGTATTCACCGTCTATTTCACCTAAATCAATGCGAGACGACTCGTCGAGTGGTTACGGCATCTCTTTGGACGAACCCATATTTGATGATGAGCCTACACCACTCGCAGACTATCAGCCAAGATCTTCTGACAGCAGCATGCCTCCTCTCGAGCCAGACTGTGATAGCGTGCTGAGCAATCACAGTTATACATCCCCGGAATCCCCCAAAACCCAAAGAAGATCTGTTTCACTACATGTGGCCAAGACCAAGCGCCTGAGTAGTGCAGCATCAACAATGACAGCATTAGAACCAGTTCCCAACCTAGAAGACCCCTTCGATGAAGATGTTAATTGGCAGGCCGGGTCATGTTACAACTACTTCAGTGACCTCGAAACAGCGGATGAATATCATCGCATTGCCACCAGATTGGCCAACAATGACAAACGACAATCCATTTACGGTGCATCTTCTCTTACACGATCCCGCACCTCGCTCGGTCGACGTCTCAGTGTTGGGGCAAGATCGCTCTTCACACGAAGGAAAGACTCGGCTTTGTCCGCGAGCTCTAGCCGAGCATCTCTAACGGCCGCCAGTTATCCTACAAAGGGGCCATACTCACCTTCAATACCTCATTCATCTGAGACTGGGAGTGTTGCTTCTCCGCCCCGCAGTACGTTTGAAATCGATGACGAAGATGAGCTTTATGCAGATGATGGTAGTATGAGGGAAGCCGTCAAGGATTTCTTTGCGCGGAGGAGTGAGGAGCGCAACTCGATGGAACTGGGCATGCCTCGTTCTATACCACAATTTCCAGAGAAGCCACCAGAACACAAGTCTTTGTCAAGAACAGGAGTGCAGGTCAAAGACCTGATTTCAAATGCACGTGACGGAGCGAGGTTGATACAAGCAAGGGGTGAGAGGAGGAGAACTCAGCTCAGAACTCAGATCAAGATGATTCCAGAGGAAGAGGTTGGACGCTGAATCATAATTATAAGGAAGACATGGATGACACTTACTGTCTTGCTTGGTGTTGCATTTGAGCGCGGCGTGTCGTATTACACAAGATTCCCCCAAAATGGTATTCGATTAATGCAACTACTCTATGAGACATGAACTAGGTCTGAGACTAACGTGAAATCGACATGAAAGATGATCTGCAAGGCCCAGGTTAGGCACTCAGCAGCAGACCTTGGTTGTTCCCTTATACTACCTTTTTTCTGCCTTGACGACTCGGAAGAGTTTGTATGAAACAATTGCTCAATATGTCTAGGTATATAAGGTGACGATCATAAAACCCAAGGCTAAGCTTGTATCTTATTTCCATTGGATTAACTAGTCTTGTGATCAGAATTAGAGCCCCAAATTGCGTAATATTAATCTGCAACATATATAGACAATTCTATGTTTGATAATTCAATTTAACCTTGTGGAAATGTTCTGGTGAGTGTGTGATGCAGCTGTCGAGCAAGCTGGGTTAGTCTTCGATTGTTTGTCAAGAACAATAAAGTGTACTCCGTATGTGATGGTTTCCCTCTTATTCTCGCCGCTCACGTTGAAATGGCATAGCTTTACTTCGCTGCTGTTATACCAAACTACATGTTTCTTTCCTCCATACCTAGGTACACTTAGCCTATCAATCCTGATGAGAACCGTGATATGTCTTTGTCTCGGGCTGGTTTCCCATACCCATTGACTTATTGGTTGTCTTCAGAGCCCCGCCCCCGCAGATTCAAATCCTCAAGATCCGGAGCCGGAGCGGCTTCCTGACCGAGGCAACTTTTAGTTTACTTATCTCTTACCCCCCAAAGGCTCAACCTCTAGACTAACAACTGTGTAACCAAAAAAGAATACATTCCTATAGTGAGCCGTCACCTAGGAAGCAGGCTCAGTGACTGAGCTTTTCCTCTCTGGGCTATTAGAGTTTCGGCCCTCGTTGATCACCCACCATGATCTACGAAACAGGAGCCTCTATCAATAACGAGACCTCAACTGAGACACAGACTGAAAGCCACAGCATCACCGACGCTGACGTGGTTGAGGCGCTACAGAAAGGCATCCGCGAAGCTACCAGGGAGGAGCTGATCAATCACGGAGAGGCGTCGCTGTATTATGACTCTCTCACCATGTCGCCCTTGAACGCAATGTCCGCTGTGAGTCGAGTCGAGTTGTTCACCTGTGCTCTGCTTGTCATCCGCATATCTCGCATCTTTCTGCTTCAATGCGTCTCTTGAGCGACTCTTCACACATATACTGCCGATTGCTGACCAACATCATATCTCGCAAGGCCGCTGTTGCTCGTTTCCGTACATACAAGCCCCCTCCGTTCCCACTGTGGGATCGTCTACCCGTTCGAAGGCGGGCAGCGGTCTTACTACTACTGTATGCTGACCGTCGCGGCGATTTACGTGTGGTTATCACCATGCGCGCTGCAAGTCTGAGAAACTTTTCTGGCCATGCTGCCTTTCCCGGGGGCAAGGCAGATGATCTTGAAGAGACACCATGTAAGGCGTTTGTTCTCAGGTGCCGTCTGTTCTTCCTTATTAATTATGTTACGCAGTCCAAATCGCCCGCCGAGAAGCTTGGGAGGAGATTGGACTTCCCATGGATGATAGCAAACTGCCAAAACCCTTCCGCATCGAGCATCTCTGCTATCTACCCCCTTCCTTAGCACGGACACACCTCGTCGTGAGACCCTGTGTTGCATTTCTCCATGCGGACCAGCGCACAGCAGGAGAACCGGCACCGACTGTTGAGGAAACCATGATCCCGAGACTCGATGCTCGCGAAGTCGCTGCCGTCTTCAGTGCACCCTTTTACAATTTCCTCCAGGCGCAGGATCTCCCTCCCGCCCCGGGTGAGACACTGCCTGAAGGGCAATGGTACGATGGGTACTGGCATCACTGGAAAGATCACCCATGGCGGGTGCACAACTTTTACGTCCCAGTCAACAACCAAAGCATCTCGAAGCCGCGGCGGGATAGCGAGCAGGGTCGTTTGGTTGATAAGCTAGAGAAAGAAGAGGAACCAGATGGGAGATTCAAGGTTTGGGGGATGACGGCGCGCATATTGGTGGACGCAGCGAGAATTGCATATGCACAAGAGCCTGGATTTGAGCATAATGACACCTTTGGCGATGAGGAGATCATTGCCCATGCGGATAGCTTGGGGGACCTGGGGGAGAAAATTCCAGAGAAACGGACTGAACCTGGCGATGCGTCAAAGATGTAGAGATTTTGAAGGTACATGATAGAAATAGAAACAAGATCGATGAACATTAACTCCGAGATTGCTAGCATGCTTAGAGAGAGGCAAAGAGTACTGAACACTGATAGTGGTGGCAGGTGGTGAAAAGTGTCAAGCTTTGGGTTTCCATTTGCAATCATTTAGACTTCGCGTGTCCCTTCCATTGGGTTCGCCATGGCCGTTTCATAAACGTTCAGCCCCTCTAATGGCATGCGTTGTCCTTGGTAGCAGAAGTTCGCTTTCCAAAGAATAGATATCCAAGGAATGCACCGAGAGAAACAGCAACCATAACCCAGCCGTTGTATGTCATGAAAATGAGCCTTGTTTTATTAGATTTGTGAGCTGTTAACCATGACAGTAGGCTCGGCTACTCACATGAGCATGAACGCATAAAAGTTCTGCAGGCCATATAAGACAGCCTTGATGAGGTGAGCACGCTGATCGGCTTGTCCTTGGGATTGTCCTGCAAGGATGGGAGTCGACTCAGTAACGGGAACATCAAGACCTCACAGGAAGACTTAGCAGGGCAATTTCCCCCAGAGTAACACAGACAAGGCAAGGAGATACAAAGCAACATTCTGGTTTCGTTCTTGGGGTTCCTCAGGGAGCAAATGTATTTATGCGGTCTTGGAGTGGAGAGGAGGAGCTTACTGGGTGCGGCTCGAACGCGATTATCGAGGGCTTCTTCGTACTGTCGCGAGAGGGAACGGAGAGCTTCGTAGCCGACGGCGAGGAAAATTACAGCGACGAGAGAGAAGAAGAGGGAGGCTGTCGAGCGAACGTGCCATTGGCGGAAGACGATGCAGAGATTGGTGGTATCCCAAGTGAACAGCATCTGCCACGATCAGCAATTGTACATATGGATAGGACGAGATAGCGCCATACGTTCATGCTGCACATATCCTTCATGCCTCCTCCGTGGCCATGGTCCATTCCACTGTGGCTCATGCCGCTGTGATCCATGTGTGCGTGATCCATTATCGTCTTATCGTGTTGTCGTGATGTTTGTTCGTTTGATCGCTAGGTATGAGTAGGTACATATGCTGTAGTTAAGTCGAAGTTTCGGAGAGGTGGTCTGGTGTATTGATATATGTAGAGCTCCTGGAACTCGTGAAACCAGCTCAAACGTGCGCAGGATCAGGCGGACAGATGGTGGTTAGAGGTTGGTCGATAGCGATAACAAGGGAGTGATGCTGGGTGGATGGGTGGTGGAATGACGCGACTGTAGGTATAGGTACTTTGTTTGAAGCAGTAAAACATGCGAGGACTAATGTACAGTGTCTCGGCTAGGTACTAAGGTACTTGGGTAGGTACCCTACCTAGGTACCTAGGTAGGCACTACCTTAGGTACCATTACAGAGGTGGCCTCCCAACGGTCCCTTTATCCTCTGTACCTTTCCCGGCGACTAACAAGAACCAACGGCCGCGGAACTGCGGGGAGCCTTACCACGCTATTTCATCATTTATTGACGATTATCAGTATATAATATAAGGGCACTTCTCCTCTATTATCCTGGGTACTTGCTATCTTATTGTAAAGTCTCGTTAAAAGTAATTGGTTGAAGTCAGCCTCTCCCGTAACATCCGCAACTGTATATTTACCTCCATTAGTACTAACAAATTATCCGCAGCTGACGCCCCTCACTCTTATCAATCTTTGACTTCAACTACCTCTGTCCAATATATTGGTTTCTCGTCTTTGCTTTTAACTCTATCTCCATACGCGGACATACGAGTGAGCCATCTCATCATGCTGGGACCACCAGTCAACCTGCCCAAGTGGTGAGTAATATCTTTAACTCTATACAATTTGAAAGCACAGAATATGGACCAGGCTCACGAATCGACCCATTCATTATGAGTACAACAGGCTTGAAGAAAACTCCCATCTGCTACAGCCCCCTATCAACAACTACTGTGTCTACAATGAAGACTTTAGCGTCATGGTAACTCACGCTTTGCTAATACTTCATGCTGCGAACGTGGCTAACAATTGTCATCAGATCGTTGGTGGTCCAAATGCCCGCACTGACTACCACATCAACCAAACTCCCGAGTGGTTCTACCAATACAAAGGAGCAATGATGCTCAAAGTCGTCGATGAGGGGGAATTCCGTGACATTATCATCCGTGAAGGTGATATGTTTCTCCTGCCTGGAAACACACCGCACAACCCCGTCCGCTTCGCCAACACAGTTGGAGTTGTCCTGGAGCAGCGTCGTCCTAAGGACTCACTCGATCGTATGCGTTGGTACTGCGGTGACTGTGGTGAGATTGTTCACGAGGCTGCGTTCCATTGCACCGACCTCGGCACTCAAATCAAAGCAGCGGTTCAAGACTTTAAGAGTAGTGAGGACAAGAGGACTTGTTCCAAGTGTGGTACTATGGCTGATGCGGCACCGAAGCCGGGCACTATTCAGGATCCTAATCTGGTGTGATCCATAAAAGTGTAGCAAAAGTTTGTATAAAATGTCAAAGAGGCGGCGTATGGGTATGAAATGTGGTGGTGTAGTAGTAGTTGCAGAAAAATACATCTTATGTCTTGATATTCTACACACTCATGTCGAGGGTTCTTCCTAGGATACAACTCACTTCAACTTGTTCAGCTTCAAGTCTCGGCAAAACTATATGAGCTAGGCGATTCCTCCACGGGAATCTCAATGGCACCCTCCTCCAACTCCTTTCCGTCAATTCTTACACCCGCCCGAACCACATCACCCGGCACGGCAGGACCAACGCCGGCAGGTGTACCAGTAAGAACAATATCGCCGGGGTGAAGAGTCATAACCTTGGAGATGTCGCTCAAGATACGAGGGATCTGGTAAATCATGAGGTTGGTTGAGCCCTGTTGCTTGGTCTCGCCGTTGAGTTGCAGGAAGAGCTCAACATTGTGAGGGTCCTTAATGGCAGTTTTGGGGATGAGGTTGCTCAGAGGCAAGAAAGTATCGAAACCTTTGGCGATGTCCCATGGGAGACCCTTCTTCTTGGCCTCATTCTGGGCGTTGCGGGCGGTGAAGTCAATGGCGATAGCGTAAGCTAGGGATGGTCAGCCTTTCATAATTCGTGATAGTCCCACTACTCGACGCACCTTTGATAGCATCAAGAGCTCCCTGGGTATCAGAGGCTTGAAGATCCCGGGTAAGCTTTCCAATTACGAGAGCCAACTCGACCTCATAGTGCATGTCAATGCCCTTGGGCCTCAGGACGGGACCCTCGCCTGGTAGGACGATGGAAGACGTAGGTTTCAGGAAGAAGAAGGGCTGCTTGGGTTTGGTGTTGTTCAGCTCAGCAATGTGCTCCCTAAGAGATAGCCATCAGTTGATGTCATAGTGGTTGAACCATGGGTGAACATACGCAAAGTTGCGACCGATGCATACAACCTTGCCGGCCTGCTTGAAGCTAGACGTAGCTTGAGGGGCCATAGTGGCCATTGTACGTCTCAGAGCGAACATGATGGCTACGAATGATGGTTACAGGAAGAGTTTTATCAGTTGTAACACTCATTCACTGGCTCAATGGCGAAATAGCTGTAGACTTAAGCAAGCAAGCGGTTTCGGAACTCCTCCCCCGATGGAGAAGCTTCGGTCGGAGACAAGTCCCGGTAATCGAGTCGCGGGGTATCTCTGGACGAAGTCAATACATCAATTCCGATCTACCCTGTGCCGACTTCGCAATATTATCAGAGGAGACCATGATTCAATCGTTTCTTCTTCATCGGTTTGCTTTCCGGTCATTAGGTGTCCTCGACTATTTCTGGTCTAGTTCAATTGTACAGTCAAAGCATCACCTCGCTTTCATGAATATACCTAGAATCTTCACTTCCACGCCGAAGATAGATATATTTGTTGTAACCATATCTACATAAACAACAACCACCAGGAAGTATAAATCTGACTAACTAGTAGGCTGAATTCTCCCTATCTACAATACTTTGGTCGTATGAACGTGACTTTACGCATATATGACTTGAGAAAGTTCAACACGTAGTTTGTAGGCCCCGTAAGTTATCCTGTTCAATCGCAGTCAGTCAAGCCATTCACAAATTTCCCGACCTCCCGCAGAAAATGCCTTTGGGAATAACATGAAGGTTTGGGGCAAATAAAGCCAGGACAGTCTTCATAATCGAATCCGCTAGTCATGTAAGAATCAACAGTAGTATTTGGCATACCCCTTCACACCTCTCATCAAGCAATTACATGGCGCGTTTCTTCATGATAGATCGACTACCAAGATCTAGGTGATATGTAAGGAGCAAGAGGTGCTAGAAAAATGACGTTATCAATTTAATTTTTTAATAATAACGGGGATATAATACTACCAAATCCATACTTTTGCCCATATGTACATATAATCATTCATCCAATTAAGCGACGTGAACGAACGTTCTCTTCTTAGCATTCCTCTCATCGTTCTCCTCCTCCCAATTTTCATCCACATAGTCCTTGATGCTTTTGTCACGAATCTGCATACCCACAACCTTAAGGGCAGCAATATTGACTCCCATCTCATCCTTCTGACGCTTGAGAGAAGCACGGAGATTCACACGGATGCCATCCAGCATAGCCTTCATGGTGCGGCTGGCAACAATCTGCTTATGGTGCGTTTTAAGCATGAAGAAAAGGATGCGACATGTCAAGGGCATGTTCATGGATCGCATCGCGAAAATATTAAGAAAAGTGAAGAGGATGGGGACGGAGGCAAAGGGGAGTACCAGCAGAGCATCGTGCAGCGCCGAAGCCTTGATCTTTTGTAAAACAGAGAGGACATAAGCCTCGGCGGTGATGTTTCCGAGGGCAAGGAAGACGGGGTTGCGTTGGGGAGGCTGAGCATGTGGGTTTGTGAGTTTGGCTTCCTCGTACTCTCTGAGTAGGTTGAGATCGGCCATGCCCATCTCGAGAGCTTCTGCTATCCTCTCACCAGCCATGAGAGTCTCTGTGGTCTGCTTGCTTGCCGCAGCAACCTCATTATTCTCATCTTGAGCGTCAGGGTCTCGCTCCAATGATGTCGTAAGAGTGCTTTCGTATAGTTCCTCGATCTCCTTCTCGCGCTCTTCCTCGAGGAAAATCTGCTCCTCTGATTCATCCCAGACTCGAATGCTCTTATCGTGACCAGCACTAACCAGGAGGTTGCCGCTGTGGGCAACAGCAATAGCCCACACCTCACCATGATGACCATCCAGTCTCTGGATCTGCTCGAATTTATCACCATCCCAATATCGGATTGTGCGGTCCTTGCTGCTGCTGAAGAAATGGTGCCCGTTGCCATCATTGTTGTGAGGTACGAAGGCTACCTGGAGGATGCTGTCCTGATGCCCGAAGAGAGCTTTGTGGCAGTCACCGAAATCAAGACCCCATATTCTGATGTTCTTGTCGGCTGAACTTGTTACGATCAACTTGCTGTCAAATGAGATATCCATGCTAAGAACAGGAAGTTTGTGGCCGTAAAGATTAAGGTAGAGTTTTAGGGAGTCAACGAAGAAAACCTTGACAGTGTTGTCGAGAAGGGCAACAGCGATAAGTCGGGCATCCGGCGAGAATTTGAGGCTCAAAATATCGTCAGAAACCTTGAGTGTTCTCGACTGTTGCAGCTTGAGCTTTGGTGTTGTTCTTCTTGTACCGAGCACTTCCTCCTGTACTATCTTGAAATCCCAGAACTTGGCTGTCTTGTCAGCACTGCCTGAGATGACGGACTGGCCATCAGGGTGGACGTTGAGAGACCAGATGGCACCTTCGTGAGCATCGACACTATCGAGTAGTGCAGCCGAGGCCACATCAAAGAGCTGCAGCTCACCGCTCTTGGTACCAACCACGACGACTTTGTCTCCTGGTAGGAAAGAACAGCATAGCGCATAGCCGCACTCAAATGTCCGAATGCAATTCTGCGTCTTGATGTTCCAGATCTTCAAACTACCGTTCGATGCAGATGCCAGCATCTTGTCATCCGAGCTCAGCGATAGCGCCCTAATATCTGTTCGGTGACCGGGGAGTTCAACGGATAGCGCTCTCGTATAATCAGGGACGTCGTCCTTCTTTGACTTCTCGGTCTTCTCCTTAGATGGGAGACTGTAATACTCGAGCAGGTTGTTTGTGGTTCCCACCAGCAGGTGAAGATCCTTTTGTCCGCTAGGGACGGCCCAGTCAACAGAGCGCACCTTGCCTCCTGTTCGCACAATGACATATTGAACAAAGACGTCGCTAATGTCTGCCTTTGAAACATCCATTGGCTCCTCTGCATTGGTCTCCTCCTCAACGACCTTCCCATCCTTCGCCTTTTCTCGACGTCTTCTTCGCTTACGAGCCAGTGCTTTTTTAATTTCGGCCTCGGGCCGTATTCTCCACACATCAACGCCCTTTTCTGAGCCATGAACTGCAAAGTAATCTTTCTTTGGGTGGAAGATAACTTCGGTTGTCCTGTCCTTACTCTGCCGATGTAATGTTCCGCGATCCTGAAGGTATCGGACTGCAGCAGGTGTATCAACTTGACGGGCGCTCAATGCAAGGCCGTCGGCGTCCAACGACCAAACTTTGATCTCGCCGTCATTTCCGGCAGTGACACATCCGCTGTAGTCTGGGGCCAACCCAAGAGCCCAGCACTCGCCGTTTGTCTGCGATATGTGTGTTTCAATGCAGTGCCTTGACGATAGATCCCACAACTTGATGAGGGAATCTTTGCCAGTCGTCAGTAAGAATCCGTCATGTGTTCCTTCACCATCAAGGACCATCGCGTGCGCATCGTCTTCATCCTGAACCTGAGGTTTTGGCTCAACAAAGTGAAGGCCAGTCACCTGATCCTTATGTCCTCGTAACTTAAATTGACCGACTTCCGCGACAAGATCCCAGATGATGATATCGGTGTCTTTGGAGCCGCTGGCAAGTCTGACACCAGACTTGTCGAAAACGAGTTTTGTGATTGCCGACTTATGACCATTGAAGTTGAGGATCACGGAGGAAATTTTGCTATCCCATAATCGAATACTGCCATCCTCGTATCCCACAGCGAAAACGTCCTTGTCGGATTTGCTTTGCGCAATGGCAGTCACGGGAACCGTGGATCTTTCATCCCTCCAGCGGCTTGTTACTTCTCCCTTCTTTATATCCCAGCAGAGGACCTCTTCATTCGCTGCGACGATCGCCTGTCCCGCACTGGTTCCTGTTCGATCTTTCGAGGACCATACTATGTTCGACGTCGGCGAGGCGACGACGCCGAAGGACTTGCCATGCTCGTATTTCCTATCGAAATTTGAATTAGATTGAGTCGCTAAGCTTTTCTCGTTAACTCACAAGTACGACTTGACCATTTTTGATATGTTGCGACCAGAATTGGCCTTCTTAAGTTTTTGTCTCTGACCAAAGATCCTAGAATCTTTCCTCTATCCCACGTACAGTAACTTAGAGGGAAATTTTCTTATCGATAAGTCCGCTATCCACCGGTTCCACTAGGGAGCTCTTCGTCACGTGTCTGCTGGGAGCTTGAGGCTCACCACGTAAGCCCCACTACCTACCCAGGCGTCACCTACTGTAGCATACCACCTACCTAAGCTCCGAATAACGACGATAGTAAGGAGATAGCATTCAAATCGACCAACAAGATGCTTCTGCTAGACTACCAAAATGTGCTTATTCAGTCCGTTCTGACGGAGCGTTTCTCAGGGTAAGATTATGCATACCCAATTATTTCCAAAAACAAGAGCTCACAGGTTGTACGTCAGAGCCCCTCCCGCCTCTATTGACCAGACGGTCAGCGACTTTGATGGCGTTACGTTCCATATCTCGACACCCGAGTCTAAGACCCAGATCCTTCTTTCGATCCAAATACGATGTTTCCCCGACCTTGTCAAGTATGGAGCTGAGGAAGTTCTCCAACGAGAGTATGGCGACTACATGACATCGGTTGAGCCGGGCTTCGACTTCTCTGTTCTTGTGGATTTGGAGAACCTCCCGGAATCAAAGGGTACAGCGATATGCTGTCCACAGTTAAGGCCGACAATGCTGACGACTGAACAGAGGAACGCAATGAGCTGGCACTCAAATTCGCTCTCCTGAAGCGCAACGCTATGGCCGCACCATTCGAGCAAGCTTACAAGGAGCATTACGCATTGAAGGAGGAGGCTTCCAAGTTTACTTCCGAAGAAGCTCCTCAGGGCGTTCAAGAGGGAGGCGAAGTTAAGGCAATTCACTACCGAGAGGAGGAGGCAATCTACGTCAAGGCCAGCCATGACCGCGTCACCGTCATCTTTAGCACCGTCTTTCGCGAAGAAACCGATCGAGTATTTGGGAAGGTGTTCATCCAAGAATTCGTCGATGCTCGAAGAAGAGCGATTCAAAATGCCCCCCAGGTCTTGTTCAGGAACGACGCCCCTCTCGAGCTACAGAGTGTCCCGGGGGTCCAAGACACTGGGTCTGGAGATATTGGTTATGTGACTTTTGGTAGGCTTTGCCAGCTAATACCGCCAACATGATAACTAATTGAGCCTTAGTCCTCTTCCCTCGGCACCTAACTCCTCAGCGCATGACCGAGGTCATCTCTCACATTCAGACCTTCCGCGATTACTTCCATTACCATATCAAGGCTTCAAAAGCTTATATTCACTCGCGTATGCGAAAGCGAACTGCTGACTTCCTCCAAGGCAAATCATATCCCCTACATCGGTGCATTTGGATAACTAACAGTGCTCAGTGCTGCGCCGTGCTCGCCCCGAGAACGAGGAGAAGGAGAGAAAGACTGCCAGTGGCAGAACTTTCAAGGTGCAAGGAAACTAAAATCCTGTACCCATGGTAGTGTCTGCTCTGACGTTGTTCAATAATTCAGTTAGTTGTTGAGCCTATAGATAGGGCGGTTAGTCGCGGGTAGTTGGTAGTTAAGCGAATGGTACTGTTAAAACTACAATTTGAATTCCACGAACTTGAACAATTAATTGATCAAAAAGCTGGGCAGAATATGAGCTGTCTACTCCGTCCGTACAGAGATATTGCCCAAGTTCCACATAGTGGCACCTAATTGACGTGTTACTTGGCTTAGGCACCACCCCCAATTAGCGGTGGGTAGTCGAACTTCAAGGGTCCTTCAGATGATGAGCAAGATCGCGCCGACACATGCCGCCTTTTTTGATACATCATCAGCAAAGACGACCCTAGGGTCGCCACGACAATGATATGGCCGTTCGGATCGCGGGACGCCGACAAGGAGAAAGAGCAGAAACTCAAAGAAGAGGCGAAACGGCAGCATGTGTCATGGACCGACTCGATAAACCGCATTCGATCAGCACCCGTCGATGCAGCTAGAGAATGGGCGCCTGTTGTTCTGTTCCCACTCGCTGGCATGGCAGCTCTACAAATTTACACAAATTACGTTCGCCGAATACCCGGATCAGCATATGTGCGCCCGAATTTCTTTCGTAACCGAAGCATCTTTGGGCGAGTTACCAGCGTCGGTGATGGTGATAACTTCCACCTCTTCCACACGCCTGGCGGTCGACTTTTGGGATGGGGCTGGTTGAGAAAGGTTCCTGAAGCTCGCAAAGAGTTGAAGGACCGAACCGTATGTTTCTGACCCAAGTAGCCCTATGTCCATACTGACAAAGCTTTGGTAGATTTCAATTCGTATTGCTGGCGTTGATGCCCCAGAGTGTGCCCACTTCGGACGGCCAGCGCAACCGTTCTCAGCCGAAGCTCTCGCCTGGCTGCGTAACTACATCAGCAAACGCAACGTCCGCGCATATGTCTACAGGCGAGATCAGTACGATCGAATCGTCGCGACTGTGTATACGCGGCGGTGGCTGTTTCGCAAGGACGTGGGTCTCGAGATGATAAAGGCCGGCATGGCAACGACTTACGAAGCCAAGCAAGGGGCTGAGTTTGGCGGACGACAAAAGATCTACGAAAGGGCTGAGGCGAAGGCGAAGCAGACACGGAAGGGGATGTGGTCTGGCAAGTCCAAGGATTTCGAGAGCCCAAGAGCTTACAAAACAAAATGGGCTGGCTTTGACCAAGAAAAACCCGGCACTTGCAGATGCCGAGTGTGAATTATGATGATTCTAAAACCATGGTTTGATTCGGGTTGTGTAGCATTTTAGACATATCCCAGCATCCAATTTATCAGGAATGAAGCAAGGTTGATAATCAGTTATGAGATATCATGCCAAATTTACCAGATGCCTGTTTTTTTTTGGGGGGGGGGGGCAATATAATAAGCTCGTCATGCTGTCAGAACATTAGATTGGGCCTGGGGCAGGTAGTCAGTGAGTAGTGTCCTGGAAATGTGTATTTACTTATCAATGCATTGAAATACACCTTGAACGCATCAGGGACGCTGAATAGTTCTGAGTCAATAGTTGTCTGACACGTTGGCGGACATTGACTTACCCGGCGCCAGAGGCAAGGAAACAAAGTTGTCTCTTATTACGCAAGGGGTGTGATCCAGAGTGGTTTCATCTGGTGGATTACTTTGTGTCGGTGTTGCAGAGCGTATCCATTGCTTCCGATTATGTATCTGCAACTCATCATCTTAGGTGGTTGCACGCTGCTCTCCCGGGCTATTATGATGTCTCGTATAACACTGCTTAGGTAGTGGATAAAGCTAGATCGATTATCAACATCCACAACCCCACGAGTGATTATTTCGAGGCTGCATGACAAAATGAAGGGAACATTCGTTTAAAAATAGTTCCATCATGCTTGAGCACCACTCACTTGTTATCACAATACACAGGACTTGGAATGCTTGACGAGAGGCACACATATAGTGCCAGAAGCCACATCCAGGAATCCTTGCCTTGTTACCAGCCTCCTGAGTTTAGCGTGAGTAGAGGTAAAAAGTAAACGGAGCAGCAACAACGCTACCCACTGCCTCTTAATGCTAGATTTTATTGTCTAGCTACCTCCTAAGTAGGTAGTAGCATCTTACCAGCCATAGGTTAGTAGCTTGACAAGGGTTAATACTTCAACGGTCAAAAGTCGAGCCCAGGAATTGAGGACCAAAGGTTAGCAAATGATGTAGATAACACAGCGGTAAACTCTTCATGCAAGCCCGCCCCCCCCTGCAGAAGCAAGAATACCTCGTATTGCATAGCATCAGCGCTTGCGACATTTTCAAGATCCATTGTTAAGTATGGACTAGGTGTAAATGAATCCCATGTACGGATACGCCCATGGTAGTTTCCTAGCAGGCTTGCGGCGCGAGAAGCAGAAGCTCCACTTATCCCCTGGAAGCCAAGGCGAATCTAAACGTGGGATCAACTCTTCCCTCTCTCCTAATTCTCACCTCATCCTCCACGAGAATTCTTAGCATTAAGTTAGAGCTTCTGTGAGAGGAGGGGATACTTATCTTTGCATTGCTTTGCCTTGCCTTGCAAACTGTCACTCGTTAAACACTGTTTCTTCTTCTTCTTCTTCTTCTTCTTCTTCCTCGTCTTTCTATTGTTTGTATTTCCCAGCACAGCCACTGTGCTATTCCTAATACACCGCCCAGTCGACTCGACAATCAACATAACCGTTCAATAATTTACTTCAACTGACACCACGGTATTCGCACTCATTAATACCGCCTCCTCTTCTTATCTCGACTTGCTTCCCGCCCTTTCGCCAAGCTACAGCAATCCGGCATCTCCCAACCCTCTTGTGTGGCCTAACTCTGCATTCCAGCCGTCGTCGACCCGGAGACACGATATCTGGTTCCTCATTCTTCCCAACACGCCGCTCAAATACCTGACCGGAGAACACGGACGCGTACAGGACTCACGAGACACGCAATTAAAGAGTCCGTCACCCCACATTTCCGAAGCTGACAGGACTTGCGAGAAAGTCACTGTTCAACGAAGAACTGCAAAGTCAATTGATCATCACTGGTGACGAGATCACTTGATACGAGGACGAAGCTCGCCGATAATTAAACTCTGGGTCGCTCCTCTCAAGTTCATTGGTTCCTGAATCAGTACGGTGGCGCACTCTACTACCCGTGGCTGTGATACGTACCACAGTCGTACACCTTGAAATTGCTTGGTATGTCTTTTCCTACAATTCCTGGGTGCAACATATGATGCTGAATTGCTCTGGCTATGCAATTTATCTTCACATGACCTTTGTTTCCCACCACTCCATCCATTACGACGCTGTTATTTCGGTTGATGATTTGTTGTTTGCCGTCATCCCACCCGACACCCATGCAGGCCAAGTGCTTCAGGTACCGCATTACAGTAAAAGGAACGAACTAACCGTGTTAGGCTAGTGGCTAGATCCTCGAAATCCAATGCACGTCGAGAAAACGGACATCGCCATCGCTAGCAATTTCCCGCATACGTGCTGCAGTAGCATTGCCTGTTGCTAAACTTGAATCTTTCAAACTGCGACTCTCCACCTCGATAAACATACACTCAACGACTCTTCCTCCTCTCATCTCGACCGCGGACAAACTCCACGACTATAGAGAGCCTAATTTCTCTCATTTTCGGGTTTTCAGTCAGACGATAACTCTCAGTGGACGCTTCGATTCGCATCACTCCCGCTCTCGACCGTTTTGAAAACGCGATTCTTCGCCCCTTGATATGGCCCGCACTTAATCCTGAGATGCATGCACAAATAAATTCAATTCCAACGACCACGTCATTTGACTTCCCTCAGCAGGGACACGATACGGATTCAGCCGCCAGACACACCATTTTGATATTTGGTGACGATTTATAGTTATGCGATTACCTTTCCAACGGTGTAGCCCATCGGCACGCCAAAGCCACAGCCTAGGTCCCGTTCTGGGTCCCAGCCTGGCTGTTTTAGCAGCTCTGGCGCCATCTCTTACACATGCCATAACATTCAATCCTGTGCCGTCGCCAAATCTAGACTTCTCTAACCTGGGCAGGATCGGCATAGTTGGAGATTATGATGGAATTTCACTTTATGAATATGAGGGACAAAAAGAGAGCACTCGCAGCTCTAACGGTAGTGAGTCGCTTCTGGCACAAATGCCCAACGGCGCGTTCGCCTCGATACTATCCACCGATGCGTCGATTAGAGCCATGTGCTCGTTCCAGCTCAGTAACGGAGACATGCAAGGAGTGGTAATTGGCGGTAATTTCACGAGCCTGGACGGGACGCAGTCAAAGGCAGTTGCTCTCTTCAACCCAAACACGACCGAGATCACCCCCTTAGATGGAATTGAGGGCGAGGTCAACGCACTATATTGCGACCAAGAACGAGACACGGTCTATGTGGGTGGCAATTTCAAGGGCGCCAACTCTACGAATGCTATTGCCTGGGTCGGTACGGATGGATGGACAAATTTGCCGTTCGCCGGCTTCAATGGCCCTGTAAAGGCCATCACAAAAGCTTCTAACGGACACATAATTTTTGGCGGAACCTTCACTGGTCTTGGAAACTCGAGTACACCCAACAGTTCCTCAAGCCAGGTCATCAATCTATCAACAGCTAATGTAACGGATGAAAATGGATCTTCTGGCACCGACCCTAAGGACATCATTTGCCCCGGTTCTTCTTCAACTCCGTGGTTATTGCAAGAAGACACGCCAGGTTACTGGGAAGCGGATTTTTCTTTTGGGTTTGCGCCTACCAAGCTCAGACTTCGGAACACGCGCCAGGACGGTCGTGGCACCAAGACCTTTCGCTTCCTTGCGTATCCTATCAATGGAATCATGAATTTGACCTACGTCGATCCTGAGAGTGGCAACAACGTCACCTGTACCAGCGAGTGCCCACTCCGCGACGACGAAGATTACCAGGATTTCACATTTGTCAACCGCGTCGGCATGAAT